AAAATGTGGAAATGTGGAAATGTCCTGCTGCTTGCTCGCCCGAGTTCAAAGTCAATTGTAATTTTTATGGCAAAGTGCTACGCAATATGAATTACAGCGACCATACACTTTCGGATATCTGGGGAAGCACTCGCCTGTCAGGTGGAAGTTCGCAGTCCAAGGGGAAGCTGTAGCAATCGCTCCTGCAGAGTGTTTTATAGTCGAATATTTGGGGTTTTCTTGTAACGTTTGACTTCTTGGCTCATAAAAATGGCAACTGCAATGTGTGCGAATTTATTGGGCAAACAATGGATTGCAGGCAAGACAATAACGTTGGAGACACTTCCTACTGGCCGTCCTAGCCAACGTCACTCTTAATTATAACCCTTTGGCTCGGCTTATCTAGCCCAACAGGCGGAATGGAATTAAAAACCTTCTTTTCACGTACTTTTATTAGATTAGGAAAAAAATTGGTCCTGAAACTAGTGGAAAAAGGTGGGAAATGCAACCCCTTGGCGGGATGCTTTGGAAAAATCATGAGCGAGCTAATCCTTTTAAATGGCTTAAAGCCCGAAAAATTGCTGGAAAAATATTTCGAGGTAATGAGAAATCCGTGCCTTCATTATTTTGATGGCTGATTCAACCTGACGATTCCACGGGACCCCTTACCAGCCCATTCCCGCCCCTGCAAATGGAGTTTTGAGCTCCTTTTTTTGGCCATTTTTCCTCAAGAGTTTTCGGACAACACGTTGTTATCATTGCTCATTAGCGGCGACAGCGCGAGTTTAATTAGCAGTGACGCAGCGCCTGAGACTCTGAGGCAGGAAACCCTTTGAGAAGGGTTCGGCCAAATTGCTTCCGGCAGTTAGCAACCCCCGGATCACTTGCTGGCCATCCAAATTCACAACAACACCTAGGCCGTAGGAAAATTGAGCAACACTTTGATTCAATGAGCGGCCAAAGGTCGAAAGTTGGACTTCAAGTTGCTCGGTTGCGAGGTTGTTGGTGTGGGGATTTCCTACACCGAGGGTTGCTCCAACTAATTGCCTTTTCGACATGCATTTAATCTCTATTAGAGCGGAGTGATAGAAAACTTTTCCAGCATGCCGACACGACCCACATGTGGAGCGGTCTTCGGGCTTCATAAATTATTAAGGGGTTCGGGGAACTCGATTGTCCGGCCCTCACTTTTGGCATTTAAAACAAATTGTTGTTCGACGCTAGTTCGATTATTTGGCCCCAGGGGGGTGGCAGGAAAAGCGGAAGGCGGACAGGAAAAGTTTCCCTGATGAAAGTCATCACATGTGAGGAGTTTTTCTTTTTTCTCGGAGAAGGTGTGAGCATGCTTCTTACATATCAATAACGTTTTAGGTGGATCCCTGGGCCATTCTACCCAGCAGCTGTGTCGACTGCTGATGACCTTTTAATCGAAGTTCCAGCTCTTGTCGCACTGCCATTACTATTTTCTTGGAAATGTTATTCCATCGGCTTTGTACTGCTAATAGCCTCTCCGGAATTTGCAGCCATGCACACAAAAATGCAAATAAACGCGACCACTCGGCATTCAATAACTTGCGTTCCTCAGTCGCGAAATCAAATTTTACGACGAGCCACGGGAATCCCTTAATAAACATCTGCAATCTTTGCTCAAAAGTAGCGAATTCCAGCCAACCAGCCCAAAGCACCACCACTCCCCAGTCAACCGTTAATTAAACCCTTTTCGGCTGCTGGAAATCTGTGGGAAAAGTTTTTCCATTAAAGGAAAACCCAGCCAAGGCGGCCGCAGGCTACGAAATCAAAAAGTAAAAATTTATGAAGCGTTTAATTGAATTAATTAAAAGCAATAATACCTTGAAATAATTGCGCCTAATAGAAAAACTTTGCCACCGATTGCCAGCTGAAGTGCTGAGGGACAGATACAGATACAGATACAGATACAGATGCAGATACATGGCAACGGGAGATACAGAAACAGATGGGTTAGATCTTGGGCCTTTGTTTCGGGCGACTCCTGACTGACAGAGTTATGCGACAAATCCTGGCCCTCAGCCGCACCAGCCATAAGTCAAAATTATCAACAAGATGGCCAAGCCAGCAGGAGCAGGACCAAAATCAGGACCAGGCCAGCGGCAGCGGCAGGACCTCCAGCCAGTCGTCCTGTCACGCACGTAGGCCACGCAACATTGCGAAAAATATGTCTTTGATGTCATAAATCAATTACGAGTGGGATTGCCGCCGCGCTGGCAGCAAGTTTTCCAGTCGAGGACCAGGATACACCAGGATTTGCGCCTTCATGGCAAACAACTCGGTAGAGGTGACTCCTCCTCTGAGATTCCTGGTGGTTTCGAGTCTCCAGTTTAAAACGTGACTAAATTGAGGGAACGAAAAGTTCTTCGACTGCCAAGTTACCGAATTAAGTGGAGCAAATGAAGCGCATGAATTCCGTGCGCTGTTTTGGACACCATCCTCTTAATAACATACTTGAGCCATGTGCTTAAAGTAAATAAGGTTACAGAAACCCCTTGCTCTTTAAAAAAACAAACAAAGTCTTATTCCACAGACATTAAAGAAGCTTAGGCTGACTTGATTTTTCAAGTGTATTTTACCTATGCTATCTGCGCGCTCCTGAGCCTTTTGTTTCGTAATTATGTCGCACACATGGCCGTCGAAGGAGCAGGAGAAGATTCATCACCTCGAGTCCTGTCGAGTGCTAAATGTCAACGTGACATGTGCGAGGATATGAGGGGATTGGCATCCAGGGATCCAGAGGCCTGTGTTAGTTTATCAAACATAATTAAGAAGTTCGGCGAGGGTAAGCAAGAGCCAGAGAGAATAAACAGAAGTTTAATTATTTTGCAAGTTGCTGCGGCCCGGGGCAAAAGCAATTGAGCCATGGAGCTCACCTTTTGACTTATGATGTATTGCGTTTTCCATGACAGCTGACAGATGACAGCTGACACTCACCTCCTGACAAATAGTGGGAATAGTAGCTAAAGGATGCCTCAGTTCTTAAAGCTCCGAATGCTTCCTTAAAGAGCGAGGCGCACCACTAATTACTAAAAGTTGAGAAACAAGTTTTCCAGTACATTTGCATAAATCAAACAATTAGTCACGCCGTCTATAAAGAGCAATTCGAATGCCGGAGTAGTCCCAACTATACCCAGCCCAAAAACTACTGTCCACTGCGAGGATTCTTCTTATTTTGGTCCTTAATGTCTCCCCGCGGTGTTGTTTGAGCCTCGTCTTACAAGGTTTCCGGCTGCAAGAAATCCTGGGGAAGGTGTCCTGCCGGATTCCTCCTCTAATTTATGCGACATTTGCTAGTTTGCCGTTTTGGCATAATAACTTCTAATTCACCTAACCCGACTTTCGACCCTTTTGGGTTTTGGGGTGCTCGTATGAAGTCGATGCGGAAGTCTCAACCACTCAGCACTTGGAGAAGCACTAATTTATGGTTTTGGGCATTGAAATTTATGGACAAAAAGCTGAGCAAAAATACAAAACACTCGTATTTGTTTCAAAATATAATGCCAGGCCCAAGGTGACAAACACTAAAAGTACTGGTGTTCTGTTTTGGTCGAAAATGGAATGCTCTGTGAAAAAGCCTCATAAAAAGCTAAGAACAAAAGCCCATCTTTAAAACCAGTGAACAATGACATTTAAAAATAACTTTTATCGAACTCCGAGTGGCCCAAATAAGTTAAATCAATCTCGAACCGATACCACTCCATGCTAATTAAACTGGATTTTTACCACATCTGATTAATCACACAGTTCAGTAACCTTTCCATACACACAGGGTATCGAGAACAAATGCGGAACTTGTCGAATAAATTACATAAGCGGCTCAGTATCTTTTGCTCCTCGGGTTCTTTGTGGCTCTCTGGAAAGTTCGCTGCACTGGCAACTAAAGTACATAATATTTTATTTATCCCCACGCCCCCTTTGAAAAACCCACCTCGCCTTATAAAATTGTGCAACTTTTTGTTTGACTCGTTCTCAAACGGAAAAACTCGTTTACAAGCCTCCAAAAGAATCGGTGTTTGTTGGCTTTGCTTTAATTTAGCACTTTTATTAGCAAGTTTAAGCGTCACACCTGGTACTTCCAGATGCACTTCAAGAAAAGGTGAGCAAACTCACGGGTTTGGACAAATACGTGGATGATTGGAATATATATGAGCTGTCTACTCCACGCTCTGTTCATTTGTCAGATTTTGGGTTCCAATGAGTATCGCCCTGTAAACCACTTTAAAAGAATAGTAAATTCTAATTTGAAATTGCTGGTCAATTTTTGCTCTGTGTTCGGTACTTGCTTCTCAGCGAATTCTCGATTCTGGCCGCTTTCGCTCGGCGGCCATCGTATTTGGTAATCGGCGGCAGAGGCAGCAACAACTGCGATGGCCAAGTTCAGTGGCCTCCAAGTGTGTTGGAACTGTTTTGGCCAGCTCTTTGCGATTGGGCTATGATTCGTTCTTGTGCCTCGCCACTCGATGGGCCTGAAAAACTGGGTTAAGCGTGGTCAGGTAAAGCCGAAGATCCCAAGATTGCCAAACTACATAGCTCGGCGAGGCTGTGAGGCAATGTACATCCCGTCTTCAAACGCAAGCCCACCGGAGTTTCGGGGAAACGGGATTGCCACACTATAAACTTAAACTGCGAGGAGTACAAGAAAATGCAATTAACCGGCCAGAAAATCAAATGTCAATCACGTAGTGAGTCGCTGATGGAAACCTGTTGGCTCTCTAACATTTCAATGACTTTGAACTTTTGTTTGCGCTGGTTTCAGTTCTTCAGTTGTTGTGCAGCATTTACATATTGATTGTTGGCATGACCCATTTGTTTGGGCCCTCGAGAGCGGCCCACGCCACTTCCACTTTCGTTGACTTTCTTTGTCCGTCGTCCGCTGATCGGTCGCTTAAACAAATAAAGCCTCCCTTCGGAAGCCCCCTGGGATCGCCGAGATTTCCTAACCAGTTTGGAGCCTCGTTCTCGCCGGTTCTCGGCGCTGGCTTTCATAAAAAGTCTTTGGCCAACTTTCTTGGGCTTCATTCGCGTTTGTCGTTACCATGAAAGCGGTTCTCTGCGCGATTTGTGTCACTTTGCTGGCCGCTTTTGGCCACGGATTGCCCGCCCAGTTGGCTGATGAGAATCAGGGATCCTTTGCCGGCCAGGTTTCCCAACTGATTGCTCTGCAGCTGCTGAAGTTCAACAAGGACATCGATGCCAATCAGGTGCATTCTCCGTTGGGAGTTGCTTCTATTCTGGCCGTTTTGGCGGAGGCTTCCGAAGGCGATACCTACTCGGAGTTTGAGCAGGTCTTCGGTTACCCCAAGGATCGCACCAAGTTGAGGGACGCCTACAAGAGGATCCTGGGCAGCTACCAGAACAGAGATGCTGCCGTGGCCCTGCCCTCCTTCCAGACCTGGCTGTACATCTACCGGAACAACAGTGCCCGCGAGGAGTTCAAGGATCTGCTCGAGAAACACTACTATGTGGACGTGAAGGATATCAGTCGGCAGGAGTACGACTGGAACGAGCCCAACACCTCGCTGCAGCTGTCAGAGGAGAAGGATAACACGGATGCCACCGAGGGAAGCACCGAACAAAGCAACAGCAAGGACGTCATTGGATTCGAGACCCTAAAGAGAATCAAGCTGGACGACGAGGACATTCCTGACATACCAGCCATTCCAGCCGACGGCTATGGCCAGGAAATCATCGACAAAGAGGCCTCCAAGTTCGATCGCGACGTGGATGACAAGCAATATGTGGAAAAACCAGTTGCCCAGGCTGAGGCCGAGCTACTGCAGCAAGAACAGAAGCAGCAGGCCACCACAGAATTGGAATTGGAATTGGAATCCCAGCCCGAGGAAACCACCACTCTTGCAGTGGAAAAACAGGAAAAACCAGACATGGCAGCCGAGGAAAATCCAGCTGAAAAGCAGCAGAACAAGCGCAGCGACCAGGAGGAGAGCCAGATCAAGAACCTCGAGGAGAACGAGACTGTGCAGGAGGAGGAGAAGCTGGCCAAGATCATGGCAGCTTCCGCTTTGACCGCCGGTGAACCCGAGAAGGTGCGTCTGCCCCTCCAGAAGCTGGAGAACGCTGTGAAGACGGCGGCCAAGGATGGCGCTGATGAAATCATGATCGCTCTGGAGTCGCACCTACCTTCTGTCAGTCGGGTGAGTTGAAACCATTTAGTATAAGCACAATGCCTTACAACCCCTTACTTTACCTATAGGTCAATGGCGCACGTAGTTTGTTCCAGCGGGATGACATCACCTCTGCTCTAAGTGCCAACTCCATCACGGGACGCTCGGCAGGATCGAAGTCCAAGATGCTCCTGTTTAACGGCCTGTACTACCGCGGCAGCTGGGCCAATCCCTTCTACCAGCTGCGAGATGGCAGCGATGAGTTCTTCTTCATGACCAACGAGGACGCCATGAAGGCGCCAATGATGCATGCCCGTGGCAAGTTCCAGGTGGCAGATCTTTCGCAGGTCAAAGCCCGAGTTCTCAGTTTGCCCTACGAAACCTCCAGATATGCCTTGTGCATTGTCCTGCCCGACGAAACGGAGGGACTGAGTGATGTGATTTCCAAGCTGCAGACGAGTGATTTCCTGTTGGCCAAGAAGCAGTTCCAAATGAAGGAGCTGCATGTTTCGCTGCCCAAGTTCCAAGTGGAGGAGACCTCCCGCTCCGAGGCAATGCTCAAGCAGATGGGCTTGACGAAGGTCTTCTCGAGGACCGAAGCCCAGTTGGGCTTGCTGTCCGAGGATCCCGATGTCCACGTGGATGAGATAGTCCAGTTTGTGAATGTCCGCGTGGACGAGGGTGGCAGCAGTGCCAACTCCTTGTCAGCCGCCACCATGCAGGCCAGAACTCCCAGCGTGGAGTCCACAGTTCTCCCAGTTCCAGAACCGGAGCCAGAACTGCCAGGAGTGGAACGCTTCGAGGTGAATCGTCCTTTTGCCTACTTCATTGTCGACTGCCAGGAGCAGTTTGTGCTGGCCTCCGGAAAAATCTACACGCCCGAGTTTAAGGAAGATCTGCCCTCAGTTTCCGTCGAAGTGGAGCTGGAGCAGTCTTAGTCTGCTAGCTTAGTATCTCATAAGTTTCGTAACGAATTTTCACCGATCCATGCAATAAACGTGCACAATTCATTTTCCAAAACAAGTATTGAGTCGCAACATTTTCCCAGCGCAATCAAAACAGCAATTAATTCACTTACAGATGAGCAGCAGCCACCCCCGGGATTCAATTGTCCGTCCGTAATGTGTAATGTATCTGAGCAGGGCATCGCTAATTTTCGAAATTTGTCTTCGGGTGACGAGTTGCGGATTCGATACTCCCGAAATTCTCAGGCCAACCGAGCATGAAGCGCATCCGTGCCACGTGTCCTGCGAACTTCTCGCCGGAACGAAAGCTGACAGGACTCTTCAAGTGGTCAATGGGCTGCAATTAAAATGCTCATTAGAATGCATGATGTCTTACTATCTGATACTGCTTCTCATTCTGATTCTGATTCTGATTCGCAGTCTGGCCAGGAAGTGCGAGCCCCTTGCTTCCTGCGAAAACCACCGAAAACGCATGCGAAAAGCAAAACACAACACGGAGAAAATGTGTCTGGATGTCTGAAGCCATGGAAGGAATGTATATGGACTACACAGGAGGGGATATGGGGACATCTGGGGGACTGAAGGTCTGGAGCTGAAAGTGGCGCCGGCCAGGCGGGCGCCAAAAAGCAGAGGTAAAAACAGGAGTAAATGCGTGCCATGATTACAGCGATGACGACTTCCACCCCGAAGAAAACGAAGCACGGAAACCCAGACGGAGATTCCAGGGGAATGCTGCGACGGAGACGATGATGTTTCATCTTTTCCACATGAAAACTCACGTAACAAAAATTATGATAATCATAACTTTTACCCGCACCCACCCACGCATCTCCTGCCCACGAGTGCCTTTGTTTTGTTAGCCGGACAAAGGACCCATGGAAAGGTAGACCTTGGACCATAGAATGGCGTCTAGTTTTTCTGCCGTCTGGCCATTGCTCTATTTTTATTAAGTCTTTGCATATAAATCAATGTGGCCCGATATGCAGAGGAGCAGAAAAAGGTATAAAAGATTTATGACTCCGGTCCGCTGGCGAAAGAGCTCGTTTAAATATTGTTTAACATAATTTCGAGCCAGCCCAAGCGAACACTCAGCGGCGAACTCTTTCAGCGAAAGCTACACCCACATGGAGATAAACCGAGTAAACAGAGTGGCCATAAATCCATCCATCCACTTGCAGCAGCGACAAACGCACAAGATTTATGGCACTGCCTCAAGTCTAATTACAAGTCAAGTTTGTCGAATTGAGAATCGGGGAAAGCAGCGCAACAAGTGTGGGAAATCACCCAGTCAGCAGGCCCAGCTGTTTTCTGGGAAAATCTCCAAAGGGAAAAGCGCCGCCCCACTGAAAATTCAGAGCCGTTGACATCACACATGTGAGCAGCAGCTGGCGCATATCAGTATATCAAAAGAATTGAAAGAATTGGGGGACCTAGGGTATTATGTTTAGCTAATGCTGCCGAAAATTTACAGAATCAAGGGGTCTATCACAAGTACAAATCCATCATGGTTAAAAGTCCGCGAAGGCTTCCTCGTGTCGCATGGTTTTGGCCTTGGGGCGCGGCTTGTCAGAGACCTTGTCGAAGTTGGATATATCCTCGGGATTGCTGATGTTGGGCACATAGGGCGCGTTAACTGTCTGATTGAGTAGGGGTATCCACTCCACATCCTTGAACCACTCGTGCTCCTTGATGTCGCGGTTGCCGTTGATCAGGTTGCCAAAACTGGACAAGAAAACGTCAGGTTCTACTGATAGACCCTTGAAACACTATTTACCGCTTGGAGAGGTCCACCTGCAGCAAATGGTCCACCAAATGGCGCAGGGATCCACTGAAGTAACTGGGCATCTTATAGTCCGCCTCGCAGATCTTGTTGTACATGCTCATCACATCGCGATTGTGGGCTGAGAAGGGCGAGTGTCCGGCGACGAACTCAAAGACCAGTACCCCGAAAGCCCACCAGTCCACGCTGGTACCATAGGGCTTCGATTGGATAATCTCCGGAGGCAGGTACTCCGGGGTGCCGCACAAAGTCATCGTACGGGTTTCCACCTTCTGTGGTCCAAAAACAGCGTGTATGGTATATGGGTATATGGGTGTTGCGAATCAAAGATAAAAACCTTGGCAAATCCGAAATCGGTGACTTTCAGGTATCCGTTCTTATCCATCATTATGTTCTCTGGCTTGAGGTCTCTATAGAGCAAACTGCAATGATGCAGATACTCCAGAGCCAAAAACACCTGGGCAGCATAGAAACGAGCCTGCTTTTCCGTAAACTTTCGCACTCTTGAACAGTCGGAAAATGGGAAATCATTCGGGAACAGCTACTGGAAACTACTCACTTTCGGTGGTAGGTGAAGAGCTCTCCGCCACCAATAAGCGGAAGGACGAGGTACAGGCTGTCGAAGTCCTTGTAGGAGGCTATCAGGTTGACCGTGTTCGGGAACGTCATCGATCGCAGCACGTTCTTCTCGCTCATCACGTGGCTCACCTGTTTGGTCTTGATGATCTGATCCTTGCTCAGCTGCTTGGAGGCGTAGTAGACGCCGGACTCGCGCTCCCTCACCAGCTGCACCTTGCCGAAGGATCCGGATCCGAGGGTCGCCTTGATCTCGTAGTCATCCAGTCCCGTGCTGGGCGACGGAGTGTTGGTGGCGAACTTCTTGTTGAAGTCCTCGCGCAACTTGTCCAGGATGAGGATGTAGTCCACCTTGGGACTGAAGTGCATGTGCGCTTGCTCAGGCTGGGGTCCCATTGCGACAGCAAATTCGCTTACTTGAGTTCTTAGTTATCGCGTCAGTTAACTATACCAGAATTTCGAATTTTTGCCTAGAGCATTACGAAAAGCTCGGTTTGAATTTGACTTTACGCTCCAGAGCTGCTTATTTATTGAAAAACAACTTTAAATATACGAGGTAAACTCGAAAGACCATATATGTATATGAATGTATTCAAAGTTGCAAAAACTATTTTTGCAAAATCCAATCAGGAAGGCACCCCTCGCAATGAATTAAACTCTAAAGAAAACGACGATTTCTAAGGACACATTGACATTTAAAAATTCGCAAACAGTTCGGGATGGCGGTTTATTCGGGACTTGTACCGATCCTTGAACTCGAAGTTCTCAAAGTTGGACAGATCTTCGGCACCCGAAACGGTGGGCATGTAGGGGGCGGTGACCTCCTGGTTAAGAATGCCGAACCAATCCACGCCCTGGAACCACGGATGACCCTTCACGTCGGTGGCGCCCTCGTTCGAGTTTCCTAAACTGAGAAGGGGTGGCATGAGCACCATGAACCACCTGGAACCACCTTCACCCAATCCCAATCCCACTCACCGCTTTGTGGTGTCCACCTGCATGAGGCTCTCGACGAGACTCCTCAGCTGTGGCGTAAAGTACGAGGGCATCTTGTAGTCGGAAACGCAGATCTTGGAGTACATCAGGATAACATCTCGATTGTGAATGGCAAAGGGAGAGCGCCCTGCCACAAACTCGTACACCAGGATACCGAAGGCCCACCAGTCCACCGATTTGTTGTAGGGCCGGAGTTGGACGATCTCGGGGGCCAAGTACTCCGGGGTTCCACACAGCGTTGAGGTGCGGCCATCCACACGCTGTGATTATTTGGGGATTTGATTGATTGAATGCAATGGCATTTATGCGAAGTTATGTGCAGTTCTTTCCCCACCTTTGTGAAACCAAAGTCCGTGAGTTTGATGTAGCCGCGCTGGTCGAGCAGTATGTTCTCCGGCTTCAGATCCCGGTACATGAGGTGCATCCTGTGCATATACTCGAGTGCCAGTGCCACCTGGGCGGCATAGAATCTGGCATGCTTCTCGTTGAACTTGCGAACTCTTTTTTAAGGGTGGGGAGGAGATCCGTTGGAACTCAGTCTGTGAGCAGGTGAAATCAGCACTCCATAAAGGCGCTACTCACCTGCGATGGTAACTGAACAGCTCACCTCCATTGACCAGCGGGAGGATCAGGTAGAGGTAGTCGAAGCACTTTGTCGAGTCCACCAGGTAGATGAGGAACGGGAATCGGGCGGCATTCAGGACGTGCTTCTCGTTGTGTACGTGGGTCACCTGCTTCAGCCGCACCAGATCCTCCTTGCTCATCATCTTGGCGGCATAGTAGTTCTTGCCACCCTTCTCCCTGACCAGCATCTGATGATCATTGCACTTCAGTGATGTACCAGCACGCACTTAGCAGAACCCATTCAACTCACCACAGTGCCAAAACTCCCGTTGCCGAGCACGGCCCTGGTTATATAGTTCTCCAGGTTGGTGTAGGGCGACTGGGTCTGGTGGTTCCACCGCTCTTCGAACTCGCGACTCATGTTGTCTAGGGTGATGTTGTAGTCATCCTTGGAGTTGAAAACGTACTGCGTAGTGTGCTGGCTCATAACAGCAGTCCGCTATCCGGCCAATCGCGCATCTTACGGCGCCTTTGCGAATGCCTTCCGTTGCGGAGCTGGACTAGCGAAGCGATTTTGAGTTGCAAATCTATTCGGTAATGGGCGCTTGATTTACTTGGAATTTGGATTTCAGCACTTTTACTCATTAATCAGATAGTCGGTGACGGCTGAGTCAAAGCCACAATGCAAAACCCACACTGAGGAGGACATCTTTTGATCCCAGTCTCAGTCATGACTGCATTTTCATTCCAGTTCGTAACTGGCATTTGTAGCCAGGTGTTTGTTTATGCCAGTGAAATACTTCATAGGTAATAGCACAGCAATTATGCAGTTTAACCGCACGTTAAGTGAACTACGAATCTGAAGTTCCAGTTCCAGCAATGACCAGAGTCAAGGACAGCTCCTTTCAATTAGCCGACTGAGCCCTTCTCGAAGGTATGACAAATTTACCTCCATCTCCTCACAGGACGACTCGACTACTGAGAAATGGCAATTTCCTGCGACTGTGACTGAGTCCGCACACATGTGCTTCTGAGTGCGACTTCTCGACATGTCCTGGAGTCTGGACCTCTCGTCCTGTTTTCCGGCTGCCTCCTGGCCGCAAAAGTAAGAAAAATTGCAAAACGTCCGCTTGATAAATGATGCTAACCAAGATTACATAAGTTGGTAATTTTCTAGTACATTTATTTCCACATGTCAGGCCAGTCAAGTTGGTAACTCCAGACCGCATCTTCATGTTGATGGACATGTGAGTGGGCCTCGATGAGCTGGGACAGTGGTAGGCTTACGAACCGGATGCCGGAATTGTTGCAGGCTTTTAAGGTAACTGTCGACCGAACCGAACCGAACCGAACCAAAGCGAACCGTTTATTGGCCATTTCGGGCCAGTCTGTTGTCATTGTGCCACCTAAATTGACAATTAATCATTATCTTTCGGCCGGGTCGGCATTCAGATTGGCAGATTGGGTCAGCCTTGGTTGAGTGTCCTCTCGAACCATGTGAAAATGGGTCTCTAAATATGCCTTTGGTCTGGCCTAATGCCCCGGCATTAATTCTCGAGTAGCGGAGAACTTCATTATTGATTGGCTGGCAGAAGGGTTTTTTTTATGGGGGGAGGGGCTCTCTGACTCATCTACTTAGTTATACGGGCACAAATAGTTCGGCGCAAGCTTTTAATTCACTTAAAATAAAAGAAATCGTCACGTACTTGGAAACTTTCACTTGCACTCGAAACGGGAAGCGGGAAGCGGGAAACGGGAGTCGTGCAAAAACTAAACAATTTCACTTAGCCAATGTGTGCTCGGTATATATTCCGTTTGAAATCCTGGCTCATTTAACTTAGAGCCCAGCCGGCAGATAAACTCCAGTTGGCTAAGATATGTTAACGACGCCCATAAATAAGCGGATAATATCTGGAAGGCCTAGAATCCGCCATATCCTCGGAATATATGTGTGCTAAGCGGGCCAAGAGCAGATTAAGTCGTACGCACACGTTTCTTGGCCGTTTCTTTTGGCCGCAGCTATGGCCATGGCCACACTTAAAATTCATTTGTTGTCTTGAAGGACTCAATCCCCCGATTGCCAGGACTCTTGCCCGGCGCTATGCAAAGTAATTGACGCCTCGATGAACTGTTGACACACATGGCATTTGTCTTTGGCGGCCTGGCTAATATTTGGCTTAGTTATCAGCGGCCATTTTTTGGGCTTAAGTAGGTGAATGTCCCGGCTCTACATACTCGTATACGGCCAGATTCAATTATGCTGAAAGGTTTCAGTCTTCCCATTTCCCATTTCCCATCCATCCCACACCCCCACCACCGCCGATCCGCCGGAAAAGCAGCTGCCGGCGGACTGGCCTCAGCCATTAGTGCTAATCTCCGCACAATCGGGAATAAATCAAGGCACGCTCTGCACTCGCTGGCCGGAAAATGCATTCGGCATTCGGCATTTGGCATTTGGCATTCAATTTGGCTCACAGTTCACCGGGCAGCAACAATGTAGTAGCTTCCGAGTCCCGCCGAAAAACCGTCCACCTCACCCTGCGACGTGTGCTCGAATTCGGATTCAGGTTCAGATTCAGATTCAGATCCAGGTTCAGAAGGTGTAACTAATCCGCTGGCCATGTGACTTTTGTCATGCGCCGATGTCAAACACTACATGCCCGAAATAGGAAATACGAAATACGAAAATCGACGCCCGACTGCCGATGAACCCTTGCCAATCCGGTGCCAAAGGCTTTCCACTCGATTCCACCCCGAACACACGGCCAAACGGCCTTCCACCTTCAATCAGCGGACCACCAACTCCACCCCCATGAGTCCTGCCTCCGTTTGATTCCAGTGTTCACTTCGACTTGCCGCTTGTAATCCCTTGATTTGGGATTGCACTTGGAAGAAAAACGATGTAGTATTACCAGTACATGGTGCGTAATTTTTGGATTTTTCCCTCCAGTTTCGATAGCTTCTCCCAGTGCATGGAGTAATCATCACCAAGCTGCTCGCCGGGTGGTCCACACTGACATTTCGCAGTTGGCTGACTGCCTTCATGTGAGGGGAGTTTTCCACAGTAATTTTCATAATTTCCCTGCTCCGAAAGCGAAGCTACCTTGCCGGTTGGGTTCCATAAATCAACCGCGAACTATTGACACAGCCCGATGGCCGTAAATCAATGGGATCCGCGGACATCAGGTTCGCACAACGGCCAGCCCATATTCTAAACAAATTGCCCCCAAAATCGGCGGAGACTATATCGATATAGAGGAATGCATCCGTGAATTTTCCGGCAGCCAAATGCACGAACAAATAATGGCACACAAAAGCGCGGAATAAAACAATTGCCACAGTTTTAACATTTGCCATTTGCCATAAATAAACATGAACCGGTTTTGGTTATGGGTGCTTGTGTCCCTACATTGGTATTGGTCCTGGTCGCAGGATTCTGGCCATCCTCTTCCGCCGGAGAGTGCAAAATGCTCAACATTTTATTGAAATTCAATTAAAGTCGTATTTCAATAATTGGTCACGCATGGTGCGCATTTCCGTGCCAGTCCGCTCCTAAATGCCGCTCCACAATTTATGACTTTTCAATTCGATTTTTTTCGTTTTTGGAATCCGGGGGCAATTGAAATGCTGCCACTTGGCCAGCGTCCTTTGTCCTTTGTCCCTTTCCGAATGGAAATCGGAAATTGTTGCAAATTTCGGTTGCTGCTGCATTAGGCTGCAAGTTCTTATCAGTTTCTGGGCAAACCCTCGTCACCCTAAGACCCCGTCTATATACCTTCTGTATAGATGTATATATATTTTTCGCCGAGTATTTCACCCTCACGTTAAGTGTGCAGCATTTTTGCGTGATTTGTGCGAATTTCTCTGTCTCGCTGAGGCTGATAAAATTTGGCAAGGTGGGGGGAAATTGGGAAAATGGGAAACGCGATACGGGGTGGTTGGTGGGTTAGTTCGGGCCATTGTTGATGTTGTTTAGTGCCATAAATTCTTTTTTACTTGTCATATCTGAGTTCGGTCTCTCTCCATTTAGGCACAGATCATTAAGTTTTGCACTGCCACTATCTGATTTAAAGACGGCAACATGTGTAGCGACGAGTGTGTGTCAGTGCCGCATCCCCCAGGATTTATCAAAATGTCAATTGCCCCGCAGGCTGTCACGGATCTTTAGCTTCAGCCTCAGATTCAACTCCACTCGGCGGGCGGGCATCCTCTAATTAACGAGGCGTTGATGCCACATTTCGGCGGAGTTGTTTGCGAAAAATCAATTGGTTTCGAGGCAGACTGTTGCTCAATTCGCCAAACTCTGTGCAGACCAAATGAAATCTATCCAGGCATCACAGCACCGTCAACAAAAAGCTGACAAAGCGTTTGAACTTGCCACTATTTTGGGGTTTATGTGAGGCGCTATTTTCACAAGTTTATGATTTATACTGCTTTAAATAGGTGGTATTTGCATGCAAAGCCTTTTGCAGCCATTCTCATTAGCCACTAAGATATCTTGATATTTAATGATATTTATACCTTTATAGGAGGAACCTAAGTTGAGCCTCCACCCTCGCACTTTTCACATATTTTTGGTGCGCATGAACATCTCGGCAACCAGTCGCAAAATGCAGTGCAAATAATCAACCTGGGGCATGATCAAAGTGATGTTGACAACGACATCTCCTGGGTGTGTCCCATTCGATAGTCCCTGGCCCTTCTCCGCTGCTCCGCTGCTCCTCATTTCGCATCCCAAGATCTTTGGCCATATTCCGAGCGTCTTTATGATCGCCTTAGATCTCCGCTGGCTGCCAACGTATTTTTACACGCCAAACATTTTATTTTGACAGGCATGCGATTTGCACGCTTAATTGAGACAGGTGCATTCCAAGGAGGGGCTGAAAACGGGGGAGTTTTGGGTGGGAAAGTGGGGAAGGAAGTGCGGCCAAGCTGCGACATGTGTTCCCTTATGGTGTTGCACAAATGCGAAGATTTATCATCGTGCCACATGCCACGTGTGTTTTCCATTTCGTCGCCTCCGCTCCGCTGCGATTTTCACAATTTTCACGGGAAAAGCCAGCGACGCTCGCCAAATGCAAAATTAACAACCTAATTAATAGTTGGCCCGGCCAGGACAGGTCTCCTCTGCCAGCTAAAATGATTCCGTGCCACAGCTCCCATTCCGCCCACTCCTCCTATCTGCTGCAGACAGCTGCTCCTGAAGTGCTGGGTATTTTTCGCTCAGTGCACGGCAGCAGGGAGGCAGTCGGGAGGCAGCCACGCCCACCCAACTTGTTGGCAATTGCAGCTGGTCGAGTGCTTTTAATGGGTTTTATCCGAGGTAGGAGCGGTTTCTCATAGACACTTCTGGGAATAATATTGCCAAAAAAGATATATTATCAAGTGAAATGATGGTTTGCTGGTCCTCAACTTTTATTACTTTATGCGACTCTTCACTTTCAAATACATTCCGCACTGTCTAAATCCCTACAAAATGTCTATGAAATTATTAAGTAATTCAAGAGCAGTGCAGGGTATCTTGCAGTCGCATGTCGAAACAACGCGTACATGTCGCTGTTCTGTTTTTTAATTGGACCCATCTCGGATCCCGCCAATATTTCGAGCAGCGGAACCGCAAACTAGGAGTAACTAACGGCCAGCGGGCGGCGCTGTCAAAGTCAGCTGCTATATCCTATATCCCATATCCCCTTTTCCATATTCCATATCCATATTCCCCGCTTTTCCCGATTTCCCCGCTGGCAACGTCTAAAACGTTGAAAAATTCCAAATTGACTGCCGGACCCCTGGATGTTCGTGGCCGAGTCGACCATTGAAGGCGTTTGCGGTTGGACTTTTCGTTTCGGCCCGGACGTTTATTGAACATTTTTACTTGCGGTCGAGGAAAAATGGTATATGGTCTATTGCAAGAAGGCAGGAAGGCGGGGTGGCGGGATGGCGGGGGTTCCTTTATTAATTTTTGTGTGAGCTCGTCTCCAATTCACGGACGGCCTTAAATGCAAATCGCTGCAAATGGGATTTGTTGAAAAGGAGGTTTACGGCCCGGGAGCCAGAAGCCAGCAGAAATCTGTGAGCTGGCGAAATTGGCCAAAAAATGCGTTAAATGCAAATTGGATAAGATGTCGTGTCAGAGGAGCGAGCACTTGCATGTGCCTGCCAAGGCGGATATCCTTCGCATCCTTCGCATCCTTCGCATCCTTGCCATCACATGATGATGCCGAGTCGAGCCGAGCCGAGCAGAGAAATCCGAGGAATGGAACTTTAAAGTGGATTATATCTGGAGGATGTCCTCCGGAGCGGCCAAGTGCTATCTCCTGCGCTTTGGAAACATAAATCCGTGAGTTTTTGCCAGCGAAATTTATGGCGCTCGCGACACTCGCGAAAGTTTTGGCTGCGGCTGCGGCGGCGGCGGCGGCGGCATTGTTGTATTTATGACCGCGACATGACCTGCTCACATAAACGGACGGGCCTGAATCGCGTCCTGAATCCCGAGTCCTGAGATCCGAAAGTGTTGCCCGCCGTACGTGCGAGTCCTGCGCGGAAATTGGATTTGCCGGAGGATGCGAAGGCTGCTAAGCTGCGCCTCTTAAATCCGCACGCCTGTCAATTTACGCTTTTGATCGAAATTTATGTCCTAATGAGCCGAATGCAGCGCAGAAACTACAAGGATCCCAGGAATATACTCGCATTCGGGAAACGGCAAGAACAGGAGCCTGGCACTTTGCCCCAATTCCAATCAAAGTTAATTACGTGGAACATTCACAGTTCGAGCCGACCGCCGATTTACGAATGTAAAGCCCCCAGAGAAAAAATCGGAAGCCAAATCCATTCAACCGGATGCAGAACGTCTGGACTCTGCTTATGAGTGCCAATCTATTGGAAGTGTGTTTGCCGAATGTCTCCAGGCCGAGTCTGAATGGCCAGTCCAGGACGTGGCCATAATTATTGTTATGTTAATGGCGACCATCGGCAGGGGAAACTAAGAGCAGCTTTCGGGGTTGATTGGGCCTCCTCTGGGCCATAAAGCCAGCACCATGAGTTTGGATATCGACAAATGTTGTTTGTCCCTGGGCTCTGTGTTTGCCCGGCGACTTTGCATAAAAATGGATGAGTGGCTGGCGTCTCGGTTCGGGGGAAGTATTTATGAAGCCTTCGTCAGAAATCAAAGTCAACTGCTTAGGGCATCGAGGCAATAAAGTATATAAACATATTTATTATTGCAAAATAATGCTTTAACTGTACTATCTTCAAAATTCTCAAGAAGCTAGAAATTTGACTAAAATTTTCAATCTTATTATCTGATAATGAGAAGCGTGGAAAATGCCTTTGTTTTTCCTGCTAAGTGCCCAAAAGTGTGCCGCGTTTTCTGGCTCAGCCATAAAGTTCACTGCCACTTAGCCTGGAGAAAAGGGGCGTGGCGTGCGCACTCCTTTTTTACGATTCGCCATAGCTTTCGGAAAAGGGGCGATCTGCATCTGATGCACAAGTCAGCGGTCCTGATAGGTGTGACACATGCCGTGATTGATGAAATGTTTGGCCATAAGCCCAACCGAAAAGAGGAAGAACCCGAGGAGCCTGGACCGCCAGCTAATTTCCACATTTTTCACATTTACGAAGACAAATTGAGGTGCGAACTTGGGTCGAGGCAATAAAAGTGCCGAATATCAAAACAACCAAATCTCCGCCATAAAAAAGAGGTGGATATTGAAAGGGGGAGGAAGGGTTGTTCCTTTGACTGGCGGTGGCAGGCATGCGAAATTCCCGAATGCCAATTGTTTCTCGATTCTCGAGGAGATGGGCATCCGCCAAAAATCCCAGGGAGCTGTGAGCTGGGAGCAGAGATCTGGGCGCTGGGAAGTCGCATTATGAGCCGGGCAAAATCAAAACAGAAAGGGAAAGGAATTGGAATCGGACCACTATAAAAGTCAATATCTGTGACAATAAATTGTGACTCCTTCGATACAGTTCCACTGTGCTTTTGAGTTAGAGTTCGTGGCGAATCGTTCGCCATTTGAGTTTTCCGATTTCGGTTTAGTTTTCCATTTCATTTCGTTTTATATGCCCGGTTCGCCAAAAGTTGTCAACGGCCATAAACGCCGGCCCACGGAGTAAAACCACCCACTTTCCATTGACTTTTCAATAAAACCGAACACCAGCCGCAGACTTTTCCCCGCTTTTCCCCCTTTTCCCCTTTTCCGGCTTTCCATTAGCATAATGTCTGATTCGCCGATCAGATGCGGACTTTGATTTCCCTGGCTCTGACTTTCGATTTGCCACAATTCCATTTTATTTATTTGCCGGCCAGCGAAATTACATTTTAAAAAGTTTGCTTCTCGTTTGTTTTATTTATTTCTGTTTCAGGGGGTACTACACATTTTTATTGCTAATGTATGCGCATGGGAAATTGATTCGCAGCCAGCCCAATTTTCCCTCAGGGGGATCCCGACCATCTTAATTCTGCGCGACCTTGAGAGCTGCTGCTTTAATTGCTAATCGAGTGCCAATGCCATGTCAGCCGGCGACCTTGGCCAAAAGCAGGGGATCCATTATTCTCGACAAATGTGGTTCAAGAGCAAAAGTCGCGGGAAAAGAGCTGCGAATTTCGAGGCTCAGCACCAAAATAGACTGGCCCACAACATCTGGTTCGTATAAAATCGAAATCGAAATGGAAATGGAAATGGACAACGCACTTCTCACTTTATCTCAACTTGTGGAAATGTTCACGAACAGCACAGTGGTCTTCGGGATCGATGGCGCCGCTGGCCACTTGGTACAGTAGAGCCTGCAGTATGAAGGGCATTCGCTGGCAGCGATCTAGGTTGCACCAGGCGATTCTTTGCTCGTTTTGAACAGTGGTACCTGAAGCAAAGGGAAAGGTTTCCAGAAAACCTCTGCTGAAGCTCAACGTGAAATTCTCGTAAGGAGTTTCCATCAGGTCGTCTCCTGTCAAAGCTTTCCATTGAAAGCGCAGCTTTTGCGCAGGTTTCAGGATGTCCCAGGATGGCGAATTCGGAAAAGATTCGACATATGTTTCGTATATGCCTCTGGCTTGATCCTCCAGTGCTCGGAGCTGCTTTCTGGTAGCCGAATAGTCTTCAAAGCCTGATTCCTCCTTTCCACCATTCAACCTACAGTTGAGCGCACTCTTTTTAGGGGCAAAGGTATTCTTTAAAAAATAAAAAAGCTTGCTTTTCAGACCCTCTCGTTCCTCGTCTTCCGAATACACATCAATACAGTCGTCCTCTGTGGGGAGACTTGCTTGGCAGCCAAAGTTTTTCTTTGATTTACCACAATTCTCCCCCATTTCAATATTCTCTTCAAAGATTCCAGCCATTTCATCTTCATCGTCTCCATAGGCCTGGAAGATGAGCTCCATTGTGCTGCAGTTCAAGTCCGAAATGCGAATAAAACGCGGCTCACATCGCGCCTCCCCATCGTAGGTGACCAAAGGACCTGGATATTGGTGCCTAATTGTGTAACTAGGACGTGTCACTAGGGATCTGCAGTTATGGCCCCCCATTTCCACGTTTTTCCTCGCTCTTTTCAAGGCCAGCGATTCATCGCAACACGATTCTAAGCACGGGGATCCAAAGAGACTATTTACCATACCTTTTATAAAGCAATATAGGTCGGCACTTAAAAACTGCCAAAGTTCATCCATATTTTGCAAGAAATTTGAATTTAGCCGCTTTTTATGTGAAATTTTGTTTTGATTGCGATGTCAGGGAAATACTGTTTAGAAGCCCAATAGTTTTACTTCGGTATTCATAAATACATACGAAAGTCATGGTTATATATTTCGCAAAGAAATATCCATTTTGCCCCGCTTAATTTAGTGTTCATGAAAATATATGGGCCCGCATTATAAATGCGAAAAATACTCATTCACATAAAATCGTACAGGGAGCAGGACCAAATATGACAGCGAATTTTGCTATATTAAAAATGCTGCTGTAGCTGCAAAAAAAATGGCAAAAATATCAGAATAGAAGCGAAATAAAAAGATGAAACGGAAAGGAAAACATTGGCATTTCCACATTTATTCGCTTTTCCCCTCGCTTATTTATGTTTTCTGCTTATTATTGGGGGCTGGGCTGGGCTGGGCGGAATCGCAATTGGAACGTTCATATTCATTCTTCCGATTAAGCAGTTTTCATGGTCATCGCCAAGCGTTCGCGAATCATGGCCAGAATAAAATAAAATAAGTGGCCTAAATAAAAAGACAGCTAGTGGTGAGGCCGAGATACTCGTAAAGCTCTCGCGAGCATTGCCATCGCCCACCGATTCGGAAACCGAATAGCTGCAATTATTGAAATTAATTTCATTTATTACATCATGAAAATATTTGCCGGCCAGCGAGCAAAATATTTTCGCCACACGCTGTCCTTTGCAATTAAGGATTGGACATTGACTTGTCTGCCCCCTTCGATTGCCCAGTGTTTTTGTGTGCGTAATTTGGAGTTAATAACGTTGAAATAAATTCGCCATTCGATTTGTATCGCCCCATTCAGCGGACCAACATTTGCCAATTGTCCAGCCAAAACATGAACAGCCACTGACAGAAAATTTGCAGTTTACACTTCGTTTGGATCCTGAAACTTGAATTAGAAGCATTCGCCATTCATTAGAAATGGCTAAGAGATGAAGTCCCTTCATTTGGTAAAATTGCTTTTCCTTTCCGCTAATATTTTTGTCACTGTATAATTATTGGGGGTCAGGAGCATTTCGGCTTGCCACCTATAAAGTCTGCACTTAATTGCTTTGAATACGAATATTTGTTCGATGTGACATATATGGCATTATATTTTTCGGGAAATTTATGAGAAGCGTTTGGGATAGATGAGGATATGTGGGACATGTGAGCACGAGAAGCCATCTCTGGAGAGGCAACCCACTTTTTCCTCAGAAAGTCTGCATTATCAACTGGGACTCCCCGGCGAGGATGAGCTATTTCCCCACGTCTCATTTCTGCCGGATTTACGATGGCTAGGTGAGCTGGAGCACCGTGTTGCCAGCTAATGGCGATGCGTCGGCCACAGCTCCCAGAACAATAAAAATCCCATTTAGAAGTCGCGTGAGGCTTTCGCACTCCCTTTCCCAAGATTTCGCCACGAAAAAGCGCCGGAAAAGTGTGGCGGCAGCAGTTTTCCTCTGGCGCGAATGTGTGTTCTGCGTGTTTACGTGGAAACCATTTTTATGGCATGTCAAAAACCTATTTTAATGCTTTTAATGAAAGCGAATTTTATTGCATTACTTTTCGATTTTACTGCCCCGCCACCCCGAAAATCGACAGGGGGCGTAAAAATGCACTCAACTCAAAATGTTGACAAGATCGTAAAAAGTTTTGCTTCTGCGGGGAAAACAGGAAAAACAGGTGACAAAGCAAAAACAGGAGCCACCGCAGAAATGGAAAACTTGCTCATAACAAAGGCCACTTAAACTGCCAATTGTGGTGGCTTTTCCCCGAGTTATCCTTTCTGTAGAAAAAACATTTTTGCATACATTGGAATTTCGCTGGCGATGGCTCCCGAAAGTATGCTTTGCATTTTTCGAGCTGGCTGCTACCTTTGCCAAATTCATTTGACCAGAAACTTAAGTTATATTTTGGCGCCCGGCCAGTAGTAAAAAGATCGGGCATGCAGGGCCAAAACCAAGAGACATGTTTAGTGGCACGGCAGCAGCGACAAAAGCTTTCAGCCATAAAGGATGCAGGACGCAGGATGCAGGACTCGGGGCAAAGGCAAGGCAGCCCTGCACACGTCGCCTGTCGGAGCACTCAATGTCAGCAGATTCAGTCGGCAAATGCAGTTCCAGTCCGGCGAAACAATGACATGAGTTTTGGACGCACTTTTGCTCCCTGAACTCCCTGAAAAAAGAGTAGGAAAAACCCCAGCGACAATCCATATTGCATGCATTAAATATCTCATACAGTGTGGTGGGGCGAGAGCTAGCAAATGGATTCGGGGTCGCCAATATTGACAGGGTCAGTCATGCATTGTTGGCCGGCCAAAAAAGCGGTCGGGATGTCAACTGCAGGACATCTCACAACTTTTGGCCCGGCCCATTGGTGCGAAGAGGGAGCAGATGGGCTGTGGTGGCTAAGACAATGGAAGACTCCAGCTACGTTTGGGAACACTTAAAAATTAAACTATTGTTGTGTTGTAGGAAAACTTAAGGCAGTAACCTTTAGCACATAAACATTTGCAACTATTTAATATTGTTTACGTCTCTTTAAGGTGTCATAAAATTACAAGAATGTGTGTTCTTGCTTATCCCAACTTTAAATAAACTTATCACTTTGAGTGCACTTCTCGGGGTGACTGAGTGTATGGAATGGAAGCCCAATCGTATCTATGGCCTCCTCAGCTGTGTGACGAATCCTCCTCCCGTCCAAGAGAAGTGTCATTAGCCGGGATCCGTTCATAAAAAGCAATGGCAATGGCAGCCGCAAGTGACAAAGTTAGAGTACCGAATTCGTTTCATTGGCCCATAAAAAATGGCGAAAACAAAATGCAAATGAGTTTCGAGGCCCGCGAAAAAAGGTGGAACACTTTTGCAAGTAATTCTCGCCGCCGGAGACCCTTGACATTAGATGCCGCCGGCTCATTCCCTTTTCACTTTCCGGCGCATATAATTACACTTATTTGTGTAGCTAATTAATTGCTAATCAATCATGGGACGAAGGCGAGACGGACCCACAGAGCCACAATAAAAAAGGACGCGCCGTTGTTTGCCTGTCACCAAAGGACATCTCAATCCCGGGACTTCTAAGTATTCCCCCATCATCATCATCATCTCCATCGGCGACCCAACTTTTGTCCAGAGACAAAAGCCCGGCGAAAACAAAAGCTTAGCAAAAGATTGATCACAGCAAACTGGCGAGCTGCACCTGTTTGCTTACTCACGGTTATTAGCCAGGACACGCAGGATCTGCGAATCGAAGGGGGAGTGCGGAGGCGGCGCCATGCAAATGGCCAGCGGCGAGACTGCACTCGAAAAAACCCGTTGCGGAAAAGACACAACAATTTGAATGCAGCCAGAATACTTGAATACAACAATCTGTGCCCATAAGAGATAAACAACCGAATTTTGTGCTCACATTTCTTGTCACTTTCGCTGAGTGCATCCTTTGAGATTTTGAGCGCAGAGAAGTGTCAATTCCGGCTCGCTTTTTTGCACCTTTGCCAGGATTGTCAAGTGCTCGGGCGTATCCTTCGTCGACTGCCCCCCGATGTCCTGCTCTTGTCACTGTCACTCAGAGCTGACGTCAGCCCTCAAAAAAAAAAAAAAATAATAAAATAGAAGCCCCCTTCTTTATCCTTTGGCCTGGCTTTCGCTTGGCCTTTTTGGGCGCACATTTTATTTTACATAATTTGAACATTTAAGACGTGCCTGGGCATAGACAAGCGGCTTTAGTCTTAGTTTATGCAGGCCAGTGCTGGTGCGTCCTGCTCCTGTCCAGCTGGAGGAGCGCAGTTTTCCTCTCATTTTATTATTAAACGGCATTCGCATCCTTTACGCCCCAATGAGTTTTACGAGAGTTTATTCCTCGCCGCCCCCGCAGGACACTTGGACACTCTGGGCCCGTCAATCCGGGATGTCTTCATCTTTTATATAGGAAATCTGCCAGTTTAGTGTTCGCAATTCACATTTGTATTTGTCAAAACTTGCACGTTTGCCGTTTGCCGTTTGCCGTTTGCTGTTTACTGTTTGCTCTTTCGGCCTGCAGAAATTTTACAGTTAACCCAAATTGTCGGCAATTTGGCCAAGATGCTGTTCCAGCCAGGACTCTCCATTTGATGATCCTTTCAATTCAATTGTTCGGCGGCGGAGTGGGTTTGCGTAAGTGATAGTAACGAGCATTCATAACGCGCTTGATGGCCATATATGGCTGGGATGCTATCAAGCGAGCAGAGCATATATATTTAACAAAAAAACTCTGAATTGGAAAACTTTAGCTATTAGTTACTCACTCAAAACTGTTAATTGTAGGCTAAAAATGTTCCTATGAGCAGATATACTTCCAGTTGAAAGGTGATGTCACGCAGTGCATTGGGCGTTTGGCAGGGGTGGTTGGTTGGCACAAGGACATTAGTTTATTGGATGGGGGATGCGCTTTGACCCTCCGCCAGGACACTATTGTTGTGCTGGCTGATTGGTAATTCGATACAGTTGTTCGATGGCAGTTCGCTTTGTGTGCGAATCTTTGGCATCATTTGAAGCGCATCGCCAATTGAGGAAAACTTCTCCGCTTTCCCACTCGACGAGCATCCCCTGCGCGATTTCCCCCGTCGATTTTCCATTCCCCTCTGTTTTTGTTCCTGTCTCGTGTCTCGTGTCTCGCGTCTCGTGTCTCTTGTCTCCGGTTGGCACTAATTTTCCTGCTTGTCGCCGTGCGAAACGTATAAATAATTTTATTTTATTTTTGTTTTCATTCCATATCAATACTATTTATGGACTAATGGATTTATGGCTCCTGCCCTTCTGATCCTGCTTCGATTGTGTATCAATCGTTGTCATCGTCCGCGGCACGTGTGTTGTCCTCGTTTCCGGATCCTTTTCTGCAGGGATGCACATCCTTAATGTCCGTGCAATTATGAATATTTCGTGTGGGAACCAGCGCCTCTAGGATTCACGCTCTCTGCCGTCGAGAGCGATTTCTTGGCGGCTTCTTCTTATTATTCTTTCA